GCAAGCAAAGAGGCAGGGACCTCAAATTCAACCAAGGCTCTTGTGGCCAGCGCATCAGGGAGAGAAGAAGCAGGCTCAACAGCCAGAGGAGTAGAGATGCCTAAGGAGGTAGAAACATCTTGAGTTGAAGTCCCAACTAAAGGAATGAGCCCTCCAGAGTCTATGAGCACATCTTCAGAAACAGGAGGAGCAGGAGCATCATCCTCTTCTTCATCAGACCCCTCGGCCTCTTCCTTAGGGGGAGTTGAAAAGTCAAAGTTCAGTTCAAGGTAAGTGCTTTCAGCTATACTTTGGAAAGAAATTCACCCTTTTGCCCACCTGGTGAGAACGTCATCCTCTAGCTGGGCAATCAGCTCATCTTTTTTTCGAATGGTAGTGTCTCGAACCTCCAGCGCCTCCCTGGCAGCCCCTAACTCTTCCCTGAGAGCATCATTGGCCTTTGCTAACACCTCGTACTCTCTCTTCATGTTGGAGCTTTCTGGATAGAGGTAGAGGCAGAGGAAGTACCCATTTTCTGAACCTTAGCTCGAGTAACTAGGCTCCCACCAGAACTGCCCTCAGCCTTGCGCTTGGTACCACCCTTGTTTTTCTTCTTTAATAGCTCTACCTTAGCTTGGAGCATCTTAGGGGTAGGCTTCATTGTAGAAGACCCTGAGAGATTTGGCTTAAGGTGGTTAGTCAAAAGGAAAAAGAAAGGGAGGAAAACAATGAAACCAAATAAGGGAAAGATCATTACCTTCTATATCCTCAGGTCGGATAAAGAAAAGTGGGATTGGAGGAGTGCCGAATCCCTGCCTTTCTAATTCCCAGGGCTTAAGGAGCTCAGAGTACCTCTATGGATTACACTTAGCCAACTTCAGTTTCACCCGCTTGTCCTCGGCGCTGAGTTCAGGTCGAATGCCTAAGAAAGGAGGAACACCAAAAATGTAGAGATCAGGAAAATAACTCATAAATCTTCAAATCACAGTTCAGTCAGGCAAGAACTCACCTAAGTTATCTGAGGCTGACTAGGCTTTGGGAATCCCAAGAGTGTCTATTTTATCACAGGGTTGTATTCCTAGTTGACACCCCCAACGAAAAAGAAATTCTTTTCCCAGTCTTTATGAGAACTCGGGAGGTGTGTGAAGATCTGCCTAGACGAGGTCCGCCTAGAAACATATAGAAAGCCCTCAGTTGAGATAAGCTTGACATTAAAAATGTTCATAAGCAGAGAAATGGTGGGAGTCTCAAGCCCATGCTTCTTAAAGAAAACTAAAAGACCCACTAAAACACCCTAGAAGTTAGGAGAAAGCTGAGCAGGGCAGACATTGAGGTGCTGCAGAACATTTTTGATGAAGGGGTGCATAGGAAAACGAAGACCATTCTCAAAAGGAGCCACAAAGAAACAAACTCTTTTGTGCACTTAGACAACGTATGAGGTGAGTTTATCCGGGCACCAGGGCCAAACACCAAGGGAAAAATCAAAACGAGCACTAAGAGCTTCCATGAGAATAGGATCCATCCCATTGGGACCCACGAGCTCAGCATGCCTGAAGGCAGCTCCCATACCCGTTGTACTATCAAGAATCCCAACCTCACTCATCTTGTCCTTACCCTTGTCAGCACTAGGAGGAACGTGAGAGGAAGATGAAGGGAGTTCCTTGGAGTCCACCTCGGTATCGACAGCCTCAACACCGGGGAAGTTGTCAATCTCATCACCTACATCCCCTAAATCAAAACCTCTCTCGGCAAACCTGTCGCCTAGGAGGGAAACAGAGGAAAGAGTTGCTCTAGAGCAAGCAGACATGATTGACAAAGAGAAAGACAAATCGAAATAATTATAAAAAGAAGGAATACTAACTAAACACCCCCTGGTAATCCTAGGGTCAGCACTGTACCTCCCGACAATAAGAATTCGCACAGTGGAGTTCCAATCCACAAAGTAGGGAAAAGGAGATAGGCAACGATCGCAATTCCAAAAGAAAAAGAACCGAAAAATCCAGAAAAATAATGGCCACCTCGAAGTCGAGGGATCCAGAGTGAGGAAAGACAAGAGAAAGAGAAAAGGGCAGAAGGAAGTGTACCTAGACGGGGAAGAGAGCAACAAACAACAGCCAATGAACAAAATTGGAGAAGAGCAAAGCAGGACTTCAAGTCGAACCCAAAAAACACAGTTTTGAGCAGAGAATAAGAGAATCGTGTGGAGGAAAACCCAGAAAGCGTAGAGAGAAAGAGCCGGAGACAAAGGTGAACAGCGTGGAAGATGAACAGGGAGTTTTGAGCAGTTTTTTGAGCAGCCGATTGAGCATTTAAAGCTTGAATGACGTGGGCTGAAATATGTGCGGGAATCGAGGAAACCATAATTGCTGTAAACCGTCAAAGAGCCCCCATATGTATCTCACATGTGGACTAAGGTCAGCTAGGTGCAGGCCTGGTCCAATGCGAAAGCAGCTCAACCCATGCCCAAGCTCGTTTGGGCCAAGGGCTGGGGGTAACTAATGAGGCCTAAAGTAAATCCCAAGTGTTAGCTTGGGAGGTCAGCTCAGACCGGGAGGTCAGCTATATTAACTGGGTCAGAAGGCAAAGGTTGAATGTTTCTTGAGGCAAGGCAACGACTGGATAACCACGAGGGGTTCCTAAAGCGTTAGGAAACTATAATCAAGACACATAATCTCAACCAACCAAGATCTTCTCTTATAATCAAGGAGAACTCCATGAAATAAGGGCAAGAATCTCGGCTAAGATCGCACTGAATAGGGAACAACCCTATAAATACTATGTAACGCCCCCAAGGAAAATAGGGGACTCTCGAGGCAAAAACTAGCCATTGTACTCTTGCAATCATCATTATTGAAAGACAAGTAGCAAGAATATCCATTAAAGAGTGGATTAGCCGAGCTCCCAAGCTGGTGAACCACTATACTTCTTCTATGTTAATCTTCCCAGCCCCTAGAAAAATATTTCTTTCATTATCACAACATCATCACTGAAAGGCATAATCACGATTCATTACTCATACAATTCGGGTTACGCCATCAAACCATAAAGATAGAACTTAGTAAACGGGCACATCTGACACTTAAAGTTAAATTCTATAACACTTAGAATGAAGGAAAAACACTCAGAATTTATGTGATTGTGTGCAAACTATGCAAAAAAATTACATTTTTTCTTTGCCTGTTATATCAACAAAAGGAAGTCGTGTAACTATTGATAGAGGTGCCACTCTCCTACATATGAGAGATCCATAACAATGGTTTGAGATTTCGTGAGGAAATAGAGCAATATCTTGCACCATTGGCAGGAATTGATTTTTATATTTTTTTTAACCTAAAAATGAAAGAATCAAACTGTTGCAATTGAAAACCTTGAGTGAACTGTGGAGCTGAGAATAACAGAAGACTTGTCCTTTAATGAAGGAATTAGCAACCTGCTCCTCAGTAGATACATTTTGAACTTCAAGGTCTTTGCAAGTGACGTTTTCTTGAACAAAATGAAAATCAATCTCCACGTGCTTTGTGCAAGCAAGAAACATTGGGGTTCCATATACTCAGCTTCTGTAGATGAACAAGATATTGGGGTCTGCTTGTTAGAAGTTAGAACCCCAGTGAATAGGATTATGACCTAAGAAGACAATAAAACCTATGGTAGGATTTATGTCAAAGAGATCACTAGCCCAATCTGAATCAGCAAAGGCATGAAGGTTTAAAGAGTTTTTCGTATAGGAAAGACCAAGGTTGGGAGTGCTTAGAGATATCTCAAGATACATTTGACTACAGCTAGGTGAGTATTTCTTGGTTAATGCATAAACTGGCGAGCCTGATTTATTGCAAAGGTAAGATCAGGCTTGGCGAAAATTAGGTACTGAAGAGCCTCAACAATGCTCCTGTAAAAGGTAGGATCTGAGAGAGCAATGCCACCTGTTTTACCCAGTTTGGAGGATGCGGGATAGGGAGTTTTACAGGGTTTACATGCCTACATACCAGCTCTCTGAAGCAGATCCTTAATGTACTTAGTCTGAGTAAGAGAAAGAGAATCAAAGTTTCTGTGAACCTCAATACCAAGGAAGGAGTGATCGATCATCTCAAAGACTAATTGAAGATCAAGAATAAGGGTGTGAATGAAAGAGGGGTCATTATGAGTCAGGATAACAAAATCTAAGGATAAGAGTAATAGTGGTGCATCATCTACTTTTAGAAGGACAGGTCATACTTGGAGAATGTATCTTCTAATGACCCAATATTCCCACTAATATCCTAAGAGATTGGGAGACCACACCATCATTACATGACGACTACATTACCTTAATTAGGGTATAAATAGGCAGACTATTGTCTTGTCCAAAAAATGCACAAATATACTCACAGGAAAATTGTAACCATCAAGAGAATTGTAACCATCTATTTCCACATTGAGCAATAAAAACCCCGAGCAAGAGACTCCATTATAATAGATTAACCAAAATCTTTAGTTGATAAATTACTTCACTTCTTGTACAATTTACTTTATGCTACCAATTTAGTTTAAGCTCACTGAATTTATCCATGATAACATCCATATTTACACCATCACTACACCGAATTCCTTTCTCTCAAATTCCGGTATTTTGAGAACCATCAGAAATATAAGTGATATTTTGAGTAAGCTAGTTGTGGTTTTGTATACCCATGGGCCATAACCCAAACCAAGGGCTCAGTACCCACAGCTTTAGCGTAAGCCATGGCTTCACCCCCAAGCCACAGCTCTCTCTTTCTCACACACACACAAAACACACACTTCCACACAGAGTGAATAGAAAACTCTCTCTTTGAGATGATACAGTTAGTAGAACGTATTGGACTGATTAGGTGGGTCCTATCATTGGCTTAAGAATCCACAACATCTTTATATAAGTCCCCAATGTGGTCTCTCGACCTTTGTCAGCAGAAAAGTAAAGTAAAGAAGCAAATCATACAGAGAGAGATAGAGGAAGAAGAAAAGGTTGTCTTCTATCCTTTTCACCCTCTTAATAGTGATCTACAATGGCGGCCTCTGTTCAAAACCGGCAGTTCGGTCACCTCGAACCGGGCTTAAACGGCGCTATCCGTGCCTTCAAGTCCGGTCGGTCCGACTCTCCGGTCCGTGGCTTCAAAATCCCCACAAGCCCAGAACTGAACGTTCCTAAAAAACCTGTCATATTGGAAGATTCATCCAGCGATGATGATGAAGAAAATAATTATAAAGACGCCATTAAGAAGGCCAACGCGGAGTTGGAACCACCGGCTTTGGATTCCAGAGATGAAGGCACCGCCGATAATTGGATCGAGCGCAACCCATCAATGGTTCGACTCACCGGAAAACACCCATTCAACTCTGAGCCACCCTTGACTCGTCTCATGCATCACGGTTTCATCACTCCAGTCCCACTTCATTATGTTCGTAACCACGGTCCAGTTCCAAAAGGTACATGGGAGGAGTGGACCGTAGAGGTGTGCGGGTTGGTTAAACGACCAACCCGCTTCACCTTGGATCAATTGGTCAATGAATTTCCTTACAGGGAATTTCCAGTGACCTTGGTATGTGCAGGCAATCGTAGAAAAGAACAAAACATGATCAAGAAAACAATCGGGTTCAACTGGGGAGCTGCCGGACTATCCACCTCGGTGTGGCGTGGGATACCCCTATGTCACATTTTGAAGCGGTGTGGCATTTTTAGCCGGAAAAAAGGTGCTCTCAACGTGTGTTTTGAGGGGGCCGAGGACTTGCCAGGAGGGGGCGGATCAAAATACGGGACAAGCCTTAAAAAGGAGATAGCAATGGATCCAGCAAGGGACATCATAGTGGCGTACATGCAGAACGGCGAACTTTTGTCCCCCGATCACGGATTTCCGGTCCGAATGATCATTCCAGGATTCATCGGTGGAAGAATGGTGAAATGGCTTAAACGTATCATAGTCACAACTCAAGAATCGGATAGTTATTACCATTACAGGGACAACCGGGTCCTCCCGTCCCATGTTGATGCTGAGCTAGCCAATGCTGAAGGTACATTACAAAACTACAAACCATTGGTTTCAATTTTTACCATCCCTAACTAGGAACTATGTGTATCTTTTAGAGCTCTCTATTGACTTCCGGATACATACAAAAAGACAGGCTAATATATTAGGAAAGAAAGTTAAATGTACACAATTTTGTCCTTCAATAACGATGTAGAATTTTTTTGACTTAGACCCGTTAACCCATATAAAAAAACAGTTATTTAGATGATTTCATAGAACAAACAATGAACCATCTATTCATGTATATTTTAGTCACTCAATTAAATTTTAACTTACTCACTTGTCTTTATTGCACCGATAACCTTAGTTTCCCAACGAAAAAAAAAAAAAACTTCAGATCTTGTGAGGACAAAACATGAACTTCAATGGTTTTTGTATTATTTATTTGGATTGTAGTGCTTATTGAACTGGATGTTAAGGTTGATGATGATGCATGAACTGAAACATATTGTTTCTTTGTTGGGGGTGGGGGGCGATGTGCACAGCTTGGTGGTATAAGCCAGAATACATCATCAATGAGCTAAATATCAACTCAGTGGTTACAACGCCTTGTCATGGAGAGATCCTGCCGATTAACGCATGGACCACTCAGATGCCTTACACGTTGAGAGGCTACGCTTATTCTGGTTAGTTGGAATTTCCACCTAATTATTTTAATTAATTAATTAAAGCATCCTTAATTTAACGGTTTGATCTACTTTGATAACACAATTAATTAGCTTAATCCATTGCTATAATTGAATCAATATTCATATTTAGACCTAATTTACTGATCTAATCCATCACAACTATTGAATTAGTTATAAGTCTCATCAAATGCTAAGACTATTGTTAATTCAACAATTATGAATGATTAAATCGATAAATTAAGTCAATTGGAATGGGATTTGAGACTTTAAGGATTTACTACTAATTTAAGGGTAATGATTCATTAAATTGACTAATTAGATCAACAAATTTATTTTTGTCCAAGTGCTAGTAATGGTCCCTTTTTTTTTTTCTGGTCAATGCTTAATTATTACAAGTCCTATATTAATTATTTATTGAAACGCAGGACCATACAAATGTCATGCAAGTATAGGTTCTCTTTCGATTTCTGCCAAATGCCAATCATACATGAAAACGGCATTGCATGTTTTGTGCTTACATAGGATGGTGAACTTTTCCAATCATTTTTAATTGGGTAATGTTACATAGATTTTAAAAATTAGAGTTAAAACTAGTTTGATTACAGTGGTTTGCCAGAAAGGAAGCGTCTTGTTGGGTTTGACTTACAAATATCCTCCTTTTTCATACCACATCCTCAAATCAAACTGGTTTCTGCGCTTGGCTTGCACACTTTCTCTTTCTTGGTATTATATCATAAGTACTAGAATAACCCGTGTTATAATTTGAATGATTTTAAGAAAAATATTGATGGTCGTTTAATAAATTTATTTTTTGAGACTGTCGGATGGACTTATTGAAAACTGTCATGTTTTATATTATAAATTGTCCTTAAAATGATCGATGTAGATCCACTTCAAACTAATTTTTTTTTGGTTTTTCTTAATTGGTCATTCATCATTAATGAGTAAAAGATCCGCTTTTATATAATAGGTCCTACTTGAATTTATGGCAAAGATCTATCAAGAAAAAAGAAATACAAAAAAAAATATATATATATTGGAGGAAGTTTCACTCCTAAAATGACATAAAACATAAAGAAAAAAAATCAGAGAGTGACATTTTTAGCTAATTTGACTATTTCTCCATTGTTAAAAAAAAACTATTTCTCTATTCTTATTATAATGATTGGTATAGTAAATAGTATATAATGAACTAAATGCATATGCCATCTTTCATTCTACAGCAATAACACAGAGAATGAGCTAGTTTCTCTGCATGTAAAAAAACCAAATTAGAATATCTGTTTTAATATATATAAATACAGAGCCTATTGTAGATTGACTTAGTCTTGTCTGTCTCCTTCTTTTTCACCTTAAGAATCTTGATGATCCTCCTCAATTCACTAGCACTCCCTGGCCAAACACTAACAATTGAGAACCTTGAATCTTGTCTCTCTGTAGAGGGGGACTTTTTAATCTCATGCTTGTCGTTTGGTAGAGGGATTTGGTCTCCATGTGATTCTTTTGGCCTTAGATGAATCTTTTGCTTTCTAAGATTTATTTTTCATAAGACCACTTCAACCAAGAATGTAAGTGTTCCTGTAGATTAGCCGACCTCTTTGAATAGACCTAATTTTCTCAAAAATCTCTATTGGGAAATTTGATCTTCTCTATCTCTGTCAAGATCTAGTTTGATTGATTTATGTGTTTATTATAAGTAAGACGAACGATGAATACAATTTCAAAAATAGAGTGCAAAATGGATCATCTATACCGTTATTAATCGGGCAATCCTTAGATCTGAATTTTAAGTATATTCTATGGAATCTTTTTTTTTTCTTTTAATGTACTTGATTTTTGTGAGATGGATGGCAACGTGAAAGTGACTAATTGTTTTTGGATATTTTGTGTTTGGGTGGGTGGAATGCATGTAGGAGGAGGGAAGAAAGTGACACGTGTGGAGGTAACATTGGATGGAGGGGAGACATGGCATGTGTGCAGCTTGGACCACCCAGAGAAGCCCAACAAGTACGGCAAATACTGGTGCTGGTGCTTCTGGTCCCTCGACCTGGAGGTGCTGGACCTGATTGGTTCCAAAGGGATTGCAGTCCGAGCCTGGGACGAGACACTCAACACTCAACCCGAGAAGCTCATTTGGAACCTCATGGTATGTTGTTGCAAAATACCCTATCCATTTTCGCACACCTCCACGAGCACATGTCAATTCGAGCATTATTTGTTAGAAAAATAATATTATTTGAATTTAATTTATTGACATAATTTATCAAACTAATTCATTACCATTGTTAGAATAGAAAATTTTTTTAATGTTAGATAAGAGTCATTATTAATCTAACAATTATAATGAATTTGGTTAAGATATTAATTTTGATTAACATTATTCTTTCAAACAATGTCAATCATAAATGTCATTTCATCTTTGTGACATGTCATTTCAAATTATGTAAAATTGGACTAGTTCAATCTGGTTCATGTCGTGTTTCTTGTTGAAGGAGCTGTTAAGCTCGGTTTGAATTCAAATTGAATTGCCCTTATTCCGAAATAAGGCTTTTACATATTCACTAATTTTGACGTACCTTTTTTATTGGTAGAATATTTGAAAGAGAGCTTCATCACTTTTTCTTAAAAAATCTCTCTAGCTCGAAAATAAGTTGATTCTTCCCAAGAAAAATGCAAACAAGAGACAAATCTGAAAGAATATTTTAATGTGATCTCTTGATTTTAGGGTTTATTATAGGAAAATTTGGAGATCGATCCCACTATTTGAACTTGTTTGGATTTAAATTTGTCAAGAAAATTTATTTATTATAAAGTTTGTGTTTTGTTAATTTTACCATTTTATCCATTCCCTTTAAAAGTGAAATAAAACTAAAAATTAAAAACTCATAAATTTTAAGAGTTTCACTAACATTAAAATTTTTTCTCTCTTATATCTATCTATATACATATACAGGTTAAGAGTTTAACTAACATTAAATTTTTTTTTCTCTCTTATATATATATATATATATAGTAACATTAAAAACAAAAAAATAGTAACATTCAAAGACAAAAAAAGTTATCATTTGGACACAAAAAATAATATATTTAAACACAAAAAAATAGTAATATTTAAACATAAAAAAATTAAAACATTCAATATTAATATTTTAAAAAAATAACAACAGATACATGTTCAACAAAAATATTTACATGTTCAACAAAAAAAATAACATATTTAATAAAAACTGTAACATACTTAACAATAATTATTTCTCTCAAATTCAAACGCAAAAAATAGTACCATTCAAATACAAAAAATAGAAATATTCAAAAAAAAAAAAAATAGTAACATGAATTTGAATTTTACTATTCAAATTAATAATAATTTTTTTTTGTATTTGAATGTTACTATATATATATATATATATACGAGAGAGGAAAATTTTTAATATTAATCAAAATTTTAACCTATATATGGATACAGATAAATATGAGAGAGAAAATATTAACTTTCTTTTAAGGAAGGGTATTTTTAAGATAAAAAAAAAATGGACTTAAGTCATTACATTTAATTTTTAAACATGGACTTAATTCCTTATAAGTTTCGTTATAGGATTTATCTCTAAACAAGTACATTTAAGAGAACTCACTTTCAATTTTCACTTTATTGCAAGGGACCTATTTTTGTTTGGACTACACCTAAACCCCATTTAATCAAATTTTAGTAGTCAATGCCTGCATATGTTCTCGAGTAAATATTCAATCTAACAATGATACCATATCATTGGTGAAACATGATATTACATACCAATAATAATATAATATGTAGGATAAGTGAATTTCATAATGTCAACGTATAAGTTGTATAAAAAAAATTTCGTACCCATTATTGATGTTGATTTAAATATGTTTTTTTGTGAATGAAACGAGCAAGGTAAACCTCATTCATGCCAAAAAAAAAAACTGTTAAGGACCAGAGTAAGTTGACCAAAAACACTCTTATGCTTAAATTAGTATTGGTTTTGAGAATTAAGCCAAATTAATTTGCAAGATAGGTTTGTGTACCTTGGATTTAAGCATTTTCTAACCTTTATAGTGTCTCATGATGCCTTTTTTGCTAGGATTTTCGTCGTTGCATTACACATATGTTCATCATGGGTCCCTATAATTTTGGCGGTTTCTTTATTAGCTGCCTAGTACCGCCTCTGATTTTGTGAGATAGGCTAGCTATCCTACTTGTTCATCAGATATGACTCGATCCCTAAAGGATAGAATCATATTCTTCCTTGAAATCTAGTCTCATTGTACCTCTCTCTAAGCATACAGCTCTGCTCCATATAAGCTTCCATACTCGATAACGCTTTCCACCGAGCAGATCATTCTCCATTGATTTATTTTTAGGTTGGACTTTCGTCCGTTATGTTCGGTTGAAGCCAGAGTCTTGTTCGATTGAGACTTTGTATGCTCGATCAAAATTAGGTGAAGATTCTCTTATTTAGCACGGGCCTCTGCCACGTGCTTTTGACAAGCTTCCAACTCTTGATTCAGAGATTCTGAACCCCTTCATTAGTTATTCAACAAGGTAATTATAAAAAATTATTAAAATAGTGAAATCTACAATACACATATTATATACAATTATTGATTATACTAGGTGCCACTACTGTAGTATATCACCATTCCATTAAACATTTCTTCATCCGTACTCCAACATAACACAAACCCACCTCACACTACTTCCAAGCCCACCCACGCCGCCTGATATGTACCCACACTGAATACCCACCACCAACCCAGGATGTAACTAACATTAAAAATAGAAGGGTATATACATGTGGCTGTGGATATATAGTTGCAGGGTGATATTATTGAAAGGAAAATGTTATTTGCACCTAAAAATTTGATATAATTTATTGATTTAATGACGTGATTTTATTGAAATTATTAGATAAACACAAAATTCTAATGTTTGATAAAACTCATTAGTCAAAATAAATTAGGTCAAAAAATTCCATCATTTAACACATTCTTAAGTCAGAAAATTAGGGCATTTTCTGAGTTCTCAATAACATTACTTATAGTTGAAAACTTGAAATACGTGTGTAAGTGCCGTGTGTGGTACCTTGACCTAGTATCTTGAAAACTTAATGGGTCCGGTTATATGGTGGTATTAATAAAAAATTTAATAGATATAGTTACAATAACTTTATTAAATCATGCAACTTAATTGTTATATATTAGATTTTTAGGTTACAATAGTTGTTTTAGAGTGAGAAATGAATAACGATGCCCTGGGCTCCCACAGCTTTCCCCATGCACGTCCCTTTAATATCCTAACGCTGTGTGTTCTATTCTATAATAAGTGATTTTTCGAGCCCACCGATTTGTTTTGTGTTGCAATTCTTAGGGTATGATGAACAATTGCTGGTTCAAGGTGAAGACCAATGTGTGCAAACCACACAAAGGAGAGATTGGAATCGTCTTTGAGCACCCAACTTTGCCGGGAAATATCTCCGGCGGATGGATGGCTCGGGAGAGACACCTAGAAAACTCCTCCGAAGCAAACTCTACGCTAAAGAAGAGCGTCTCATCACCATTCATGAACACTTCTTCAAAGATGTACTCAATGTCCGAGGTGAAGAAGCACAACTCGCCGGACTCTGCATGGATCGTCGTCCACGGTCACGTCTACGACTGCACAAGGTTCCTCAACGACCACCCTGGTGGTGCCGACAGTATCCTCATCAACGCCGGCACAGAGTGCACCGAAGAGTTCGACGCCATTCACTCCGATAACGCAAAGAAGCTCCTTGAGGAGTACAGAATCGGAGAGTTGATAACCACCGGTTATACTTCCGATTCGACCGCCTCGTCTCCGAACAATTCCGTCCATGGAGGATCAAACATGACCCACTTAGCTCCGATCACTGAAGTTGCACCGGCGAGAAGCGTTGCTCTCGTTCCACGTGAGAAAATCCCATGCAAGCTCGTGTCAAAAACTTCAATCTCTCATGACGTGAAACTTTTCCGATTTGCATTGCCGTCGGAAGATCAACTTCTGGGATTACCGGTTGGGAAACATATATTCTTGTGCGCTACAATCGATAATAAGCTCTGTATGAGAGCCTACACGCCAACAAGTTCAGTAGATGAACTAGGTCATTTTGATCTGGTGGTAAAAATATACTTCAAGGGTGTGAACCCTAAATTTCCAGATGGTGGGCTCATGTCACAGTACTTAGACTCTCTCTCTCTAGGTTCTGTCCTGGAAGTGAAGGGTCCATTAGGGCACATTGAATACGCAGGAAAGGGCAAATTCACAGTCCATGGAAAACCTAAGTTTGCTAAGAAGCTGGCCATGGTGGCTGGTGGGACTGGTATAACACCCATTTATCAGGTGATTCAAGCTGTTTTGAAGGACCCGGAGGACGACACAGAGATGTTTTTAGTTTATGCAAATCGTACGGAAGATGATATACTGCTTAGAGATGAACTTGATGCTTGGGCTGAGAAATATCATGATAGATTGAAGGTGTGGTATGTGGTCTCAAAGTCGACAAAGGAAGGGTGGAAATATAGTGTAGGGCGTATCTCTGAGAGCATTTTGAGGAAGAACATTCCAGATGCATCGAAAGACTGTTTGGCATTGGCGTGTGGACCACCACCAATGATTCAGTTTGCTTTGAATCCGAACTTGGAGAAGATGGGGTATGATCTAAAGGATTCTTTGTTGGTGTTTTGAATGAGCAAGAAGAAGAATAATAGTAGAGAGGGAGTAGAGCTCCATAAATGTCATCCTTGTATGTATTTTTCATACCTTTTAGCAATTATTATTGCTTAGATTTTCACAATTTTTTGCTGTTTTTTTTGACCCAGACTCTAAGGAGAGAACAATACTAAGTGGATTTAAAATTCAGCAATGGTATTCAAATTTAATTTGATGATTTAATTTATTATGATATTTAAATTGATCGTAGACCCTATCAAATATTAGAACTTGATTTTAATTCAATACTTCTAATGAAATCACATCATTACATCAACAAATTATGTCAAATTTTTAAGTTTAAATGACATTACTCTTTAAAATATTGAATTGATCAATCATCATCATTAATTTAGATCTCAGAATTTTATTAGAAGTTACTACCTACCAATATTTGCGATTGATCAAATCAACAAATTAAGAGAGTATCTTAAATCCAACTAACATTTTCCCTTCGTTTGTTTAGTGGAAAAATGGTAGAAAGTAAAAGAAAGAGAAATTTTTTAAAATTTTATTTTGTTTGGTAAGCATGAAAAGGAAAATAATAGAAACAATAATTTTTTTTTCATGCTTGAATTTTTTCACAAATAACCAATTTTTTTTCTTGTAAAAAACACAAGAAAATACAAGAAAGTTGTGATTTATAGTTAACTTCTCATTTTACCCTTATTTTTATTAAAATATTTTATTAGTTATTAATTTTAAAAAAATTTGGTATGAATTTGATTAAAAATATAATTTAACCCAAAAACCTTCGTATTAGTGATTGTCTTAAAATTAGGTTTCAAGCCACTAATTTTAAAAAATGTAACATTCAATTGTAATTACATATATTTTTTTTAAATCAATTTAATATAATTAAGGGTAATTTAGATAATTATAAACTACTTCTTATAACTTCATTTTCTTTCAAACAATAAAATTAAATTTTTAAAAAAATTTCCTGCAAATTTTTCATTCTAATTAAATATATGCATAAAAATATTTTTTCTATTATTTTCTTTACATTTATTTCACTTTCTATCATTTTTACTTTTCATCATTTTTTTCTCGGTAATCAAACGGACCTTTAGGAGACCCCAGAGTTGTTTATAGCTCCACTTCTCTCGTAAAAGATTGCATTTAACCTTTCAATTAATGGAAAAGGAGTTGCGACATGGAAAGTTAGTAATAATGATTAAGTTACAACATTTTGAAAATTTTAGTTATAACACTAAAAACTATTAATCAATCAGAAACGATTGTGATCAATAAAAAAAATAATTATTAAAGGTCTAATTAAATTTAATTGAATTTATTTGTGATCGATATTCTTTGTAAAGTGTAACTTGAACATTAACAGTAATATTTTTAATACGATACCAAGAAGTTCTTTAGTATTATAGTGGTTTTGTATATGACGTTTGCCCTAATTGTTTTTTTTTTCATCGGGTAAATGGTGAGAAGATTTTGTATGAGTTAAACACGAAGTCAAGTAGCGACCACCCAACGAAAAGCTGTCATGTTAAGACACAAGTTGATATTTTTGAAAAAATTATGATAAATTGATGAGTGACGAAAGTATATCAGGTGATGTGTTGAACATACTGAAAATTTCCGTAAATGGTTCAAATTCTACAGAGTAGGGTTCCAGGAAAATTTTGTTTAAATTTTACTTATCTGGTATCTGCCAAACTACGCTATGTACGTCTTCACTCTGGTTCTTGAGATCAGAAATTGTCTTTGGATAAGAAGACAACTAAAAGTGCTTCGTCCTAATAATTGCAAGAATAGATTCTTTTGTTCCAAAGGATATTCTTTCACAGAAGGGTAAAGAGAGTAAAACAAAAACTATAATAACACCAAATAGGAGCACCATTCGTCGGTTCAAAAAGATAACAACAATGTTATATAAATTTAAAAATTAAACTTAAAAATGAGAATTAATAATTATAATTAATGATTTATTATAAGTTTTAGTATTTATTGAAATTTATTACCTATTTAATGAGTAAATATATATTGGGACTATACTTTCTGTTTTGTCGAGCCCTGCTTTGGTCTCTGGTTTGATGGTTATACGTGCTAAAAATGATTTTATTGTCGAGCCCCGAAGAGGAATATTTAATGACCCGGACATTTTCAGTATGTGTTGAACATACTGAAAAATTTATGGGAGAAAATTACCCATTCAAACAACAAAATTGGAAAAAAAACAAAATGACAAGTGTCAACTTGCCATTGTGTAACGAGTGAACTTATGAATAGATGGAGACCCCGCCTAGCTTGCGTCATTCCAACACCGACACGGAGCTCAGTACCCGATCATTTGCCATAACTTGAAGTCCTATTACACCTAAGCCCAAATTTATATTACCGACTTAAGGTTCATATTTTGTAGTAGTTTTGGACTCGATCCCTCAATCCTATTTTTTGATAGTATGCATTGTATTGTGTAAGGGGTAGAAATCGTTACGGATCTCATCCCTCCACTTGAAGGACCCTTTCTTAAAGCAATCCACATCGGAAGAGAGTCGTCTTTCCCCCTGCCATATAAGTGAACACTTCTTATGGAGGAGGTACCCACTAGCGATCTGATCAGGTGCCTAGTGGGTACCTCCTCCATAGGAAGTGTTGACTTATATGGCAGGGGAAGACGATTCTCTTTAGTCCTCCAAAATGAGTTATCAGTGGCAACTTTCCTGCAAGCCCAACGATCTAGAATGCTAGCCACTAGTCACACTAGGGCTAGGAAGTATGCCCCAAAGCCACGAATAACAAGATTCATAAATAAAAGCTAGATTTGGGAAGCTGCAACGAAGGATTGAACAATCTTTCTATTGGCTCTAGTCGATTTTTACAAGCATCAATCTGCTCCTAACGACGGTGATGATTCCCCTCTGAAAGGTGGCAGCTCCTTATATATTCATATCAATTTATATCATCGACTTTTAAGCTTATCTGTTATCCCATTAGTAAGCAAATATTGATGTACAAGAAAAAGGAGTAGGCAATACACATAAAGTAGTCATCCTTTCTATGTAAAAGGAACTTCCACGTGTTAGCTAAACAAGAGTGCAATTCCAATTATATGAAAAGAAACTAGTTTGATTTATCCTAATGAACAAAAAGATCATACCCCTTACACAAATTTCCTGTCTATAGTTGAGTTTGGAAGATTAGTCCTCATAACTTCATCCTTATTTTAAAGGGACTAATATTTGGACTCAAACCAAGTTTCATCATCACTACGAAAGCAAAGAAAATTGAACTACTTGCTACAAAACAGCTTCTCACAACACAGCGAACACATATTTTATTTGGTCACAATACTTTCTTGTGCTTGAGCAACTATCACCAACGCTACCACCGAATGAGATAGTTAAGTGGGGTACCGATCAAACTTCTCTCTCTAAAGTTAGAGATTCGAGTTTTAGAATTTACATTGGGGTGGTTGACTGTTATGCTAGTATAATTAGGTTTGTTTTAGAGAAGAGTAACGATCACGGTTAGAGACCTCATAATTCTACCGATTAGAGCCTATCAAAATGGTGTTTAGTCACTCAGACCAACATTTTTCCCGGCCTTATCCCTTCTCTTTTTTTTCCCCAGCACTCATGCATTGGTTTATCAATGCCCTGCTGCTATACATTGAACTTTACATGTTTTTTTCACCCATAATCATTTATACGCTCCCCCCCCCCCCCCCCCCCCCCCCCCCCCCCCCCCCCCCCCACCCACAAGACGCTACATAAGCGGGAGCTTCATGCACGTGGCCGTGATGTTATATTACTTTTAAGATATTTTTAGTTTAGTTTTTTTAAATTTATGGAGTGAATACACAAATATTATTAACACATCATGGCCACAACCCACAAAAAAGAATGGAGAGTGAGAAGAAGAAGGAGGACTTACCGAAAGTGTTAATCGTTCTAGGCGCATGCAATCTTCTTAGATCTGTCGGGCAACTATCATTTACCTGGGAAAAAAAAAAACAGCAATGCTATGTGGATATAAAAACTAAATTTAAAAAATAGACTCGATAAGTATAACTATTGATTTCACTGTGAGTTCTAACATTTATTAAGACCTATTACTTATTTAATGATTATAATTATCGAGTCTATTTTTTAAGTCTATCTAGCATTACTAAAAAAAAAAATTCTCTGAGAATAATCCCGCACACGAAAAAAATTCATTGATGTAAGTTTTTGATCTATAAATATCGGTGTACTAAAGTGGATAGATTTTTCATTCGTAAATATAGATAAGATGTATTAAAGTGAGTATGTTGTATCGAATTATGTTATGTATTTGTGTCATATTTTTATTATCTTTTTATTTTTAAATTTTTATTTTTTAAATAATATTATTTATATTAATTATCTGTCGTACAAAATTAACAAATAATTTCACTACTATGTTATAACAAGCGGTACGAGAGATCTGTTACAGTCAAAAGAATTCAACTTGGAACCTGAGATCCACCACCACACAAAACCATTTTGCCACATAACGCCCAAGGGGCGTACAACCCAACCTTTTCTTGTGAGCCAAAGAAAACATTGGCTTGACCCCTACCGTCCCTATTGTATTTTCGAGGCATGGAAAGGTCATTTGAACTTATTTCCGCAGCTCTACTGCTTGACCTCTGTCCTTGTTGGGTACTGATCGAGATCTCTTCTAATATATATATATATATTTTTTTTTTGATAAATTATTTGTCATTAATGATTGAAGAATTTATTTATATATAATAAGTTCACTTAAATACTCGATAAATAATCTACCAAGTAAAAAATTAAACAAAAAATATAATTGAGAGTATCTCAACCCTTTGTTTGGTTGTCCTGATTCATGCCTAGGACATTATTTAATAACCCTTTTCCTCACCAAACAACTTGTGCCAATCATCCCACTTTATACTTTTTTTTTGTTCTTGCTTGGTTCAACTGAACCCTATGTCACTCTATAATGGTACAAACAGGAGGTCACTTTCTGCTTTTTAATTCTAGAAGAAGATGAGGGGTATACAGGAATTTAAAATAGGAGAAACATTTTAAATAACAAATTGAAGATACACAAATATATGGGAAACAAAATTCAAATAAAGGACAAAATAGAGTGATGATCTATAAACTATGTCTTTCGGCTCATTTGGGTATTCCTACTC